CTGTTGATGTCTTCTATGATGTCATGGGGGTGATGGCCATCAACATTGCAGCTCACAGATTGGGCAGTTCCCAGGATCTCTTTAATAGTTCCAGAGAGTTCTCTGGCTAAAGACCGGTGTCGCATCTGCCGGGCAATGCCAACAATCTCATCAAAAGTGGTATTTCCACTGTGTTTAATATTTTTCTGCTTCTTTCTATCTCTGGGTGGTTCCTTTAGGGCTTTGATGATCAGGGCAGAGGCAGAAGGCACCACTTCAACCTGGGCCTGTCTGTTCTGAATGGTCAGTTTCACTGTAATCCTTAGTCCCTTCCAGTCACCGGTGGCCTTGGCAATGTCATCACCAACCTTTTTTGGAGACAGACCCAGGGGGCCGATCTTGGGGGCCAGAGCGGAAGTGGCACCGACTTCCCCACCGGTACACCTCAGGTACACGACTTTAATCTCGTTGGGGTCGAACTTGGGCGGCATGGCGGAGGCGGCTGGTGTCGGATGAACCCGGATGCGGGACGACCGAAGAAAGTTGCACCGAGGCCTCCTCCGAACCGAAAGCAGAAGCTGTTTTGAGGACAGAGGAAGGGAACACTGCATGGCTTAAAATCAGGAAGGGTGTGCCTCAGGGTTGTATGCTTTCTCCAGAACTATTCAATCTGTATGCTGTGAAAATTGTTTGCAAAGCCTGAGTCAATGAAGAATGTGGCATCAGGACTGGACGAAGACTTACTAAAAACCTGCATTATGCAGATGATACAACCTTACTTGCTGAAAGAGAAAAGGATATTAAACCCTTGCTAGTCAAGGACTACAGCCTGTGGTATGGATTACACCTCAACATTGAGAAAACAAAGGTCCTCACCATAGGATCAACAGTCAACATAATGATAAATGGAGAAAGGATTAAAGCTGTCAATTATTTCCTTGATTCAACACTCCTGGCACCAGCAGTAAAGAAATCAAGAGACGTATTGCACTGGGAAAGTCTGAGACATCTCCAATGTACTGAAAGCAATGTTATCAGTTTGAAGACTAAGGTGCACTTGATTCAGGCCATAATAATCTCAGTCACCTGCTACACCTCAGAGGGCTGGACAATGAGTAAGGACGACAGAATAATTATTGATGCCTTTGAGATGTGGTGCAGGGGAATGGTACTGAGTGGACAGAAAGAATGGACAGGTCTTGGAAAAAGTGCTGCTAGAGTGCTCCTTGGAGGCAAAGATGGCAAAGCCTCATCTTTTACACTTTGGACATGTGGTTAGGTGAGGCTGGTTCCTTGGAAAGGGACATTATGCTTGGAAAGATGGAGGGTCAGCTAAGGACAGAAAGAACACCAATGGGAGGGATTCACATGGTGGCTTCGGCAATGGGTGTGTGAGAGATGCGGGTGGCAGAGGACAGGGCACGGTTCAGTAGGCTATTCAAATGGTCGCTGAGCTAATGGCACCTAACAACAATGCCCCTGGTTGCATTTCTTCCAAGATAGGTTTTTTGTTTTTTGGTTGTCCATGGCATATTCAATCCTCTTTGCTAATGCAATTCCAAGGCAACATTTTTTCACCTTCCTTATTGGTTGTCCAACTTCTATAGGCACATGGAAAGAAAACTCCAAGCCAACCAAATAAAAAACACCCCAAAACATAATTGGATGAAGTACACTTTGCTCTTTAAAGTAACATCCTAGTTCTTTGGCACATAAAGAGGTCCGTCACAGCAGATATGTACAATGGACTAAGTTTTATTTATAAATTGACTGCTGCAACCACAGATATGGATTGTGGAACCACGTGAAGTGCAATACCTGACTTTAGTATTTTCTTATTCATGATGTCCAGTTGTGAAGATTTCCTCTCAACTTCAACAATTAATGTTGAAATAGAATTCATATTAAAGGCTGTTTATCATCTTCAGTTAAGTGCTTTAAGTTCTTCACTTCCATTAAGCCTAACACACGTTATAAATCTTCCTCCAATCTGGATGTTGCATTCTTCTTCACAAAGTCCAGCTTCTCAAATTGCGTACTTAGTATCCAAACTGAGTAAGTATGGAGAAAAGATACAACTCTGATACACATTCCTGATTTTAAACAATCCAGTACCCCTTTCTTCTTTACAAAGGACAGCTCAGTCTATGTACAGATTTGGCAAGAACACAAGTGTTGTGAGATTTCTATTCTCAATATTACCCATGGTTTATGCCACACAGCTGAATGAATTTTCATTGACAATAAAACACAAGTAATTATCTTCCTGGTATTCTTTCAGTTCAGATCTACCAGACATGTCTCCTTCCACCACCTCTTCAGAATCCAGCTTGGATTTCTCACTTGAATCCCTGTTGCAGTACTTTCCAGTCACTCTGGAACAATCTTTAGCAAGATTTTACTGACGTGATGTTAACACTGTCTGATTATTTCCATACTCTGTTAAATGGTGGGGACCACTCAATTGTTTCTTTGCAATGGTCACAAAATATGAATCTTCCGGCTGGTTGCTCAGGTAGCCAAATTTCTTGGCACAGACAAGCAGCCATGGCTGTGGTGGTGTCTCAGCTGAAATTCTCTAAGTCCCTGCTGTCTTTATTTTCTGCCCACACCTTAACTGTAGCTGTGACTTTTCCCTCAGGACCACTGGTCTCTGGTCACAAACTACTCTCTGAAATGATTCAATGTCAACTAACACTTTTTGGTCAAGTGATCCAGTGTATTCCTTCCATCTCCTTTTGATGCTTCATGCATCATTCATTATTTTTCCCAAAGAACTCAGGTACTACTTAATATTGGCCTCAGAGACAGCTCTTTGATGATATGGTCATTCTCACTTTCCTGCGTAGACACAAAAATAACCACATTCTTAAAACAGACAATATTTCTACTCTATAGTAACCACAGGTTGTTGTTATGTGCCGTTGAGTTGCCTGCGACTCATAGCGACCCTGTGTACAACAGCTCTAAACCCTGTTCTCTATTGTGCCAATCTGACTGTCTCTGACACACCTACCCATTACCCCAGTCACTGAATCAATCCATCTCATCAAGGGTCTTCCTTTCTTGCACTATCCCTCCATCCTCCCAAACACAGGTTAACCAAAGGTATCTTTTTAGACCATGTTGTAAAATTTGAAAATAGTGACATTTTACTTTCAGAGAAAATGGTATTTTCTCCAAATTAGGTAGCTTGGGAAATATACTTAGTCACTTTTCAGCACTTACTGACCTTTTAAAGTATTCATGTCTTTATCTATGACCTTACCTCACCCTGATGTTGTGAGAAATAAATGAGACTATCTGTCAGGTACTTGGTGCAGGGCCTGGTGCACAATAACCACTCAGGTTACTAGTCTTAACAAGCAGCTGTCACAGAGCACCAGTGAGTAACAGAATTCTTCATTCTCTCACCGACTGAGAAGAAGTGGGGAGGGAAAGCCCGAGACCACAAACAACTGGTTGAGAAACAGATGGCAGCAACTGGATAGTAATAATTCGTGTTGCTTTAGTCCCCAAAATGAAAAACCATCTTAAACCTATTTGCTAGAACCATTGTAGCAAAGTGGACTTCTTTTCAATTTTTAGGAAACAAATGACAAAAAAGGGTAATAGATATTTATTTTAAAAAAAAATTCCAGAGCCTCTGCCTCACTAGCTGTAAACAGTTCCATTTTGTGTTTGTTCTATGGTTATACTCAGTTATATCACTGTAACATACTACAGACATTTGAATACTTCCAAACATCAAAAAACATGCATTTATCTCTGGCTTACCATAGTTATTAAGGCAGAATTTGCTATAATGATCACTACAGAGTCTTGTTGGTTATCCTTTAGTTAACCTGAACTACACCTTCCATAGACAGTCCAGTAAACTGAAGTTTACATAAGGTCACTGCCAGAGATAGGAAATTTCCCCTTTTGAAGAAATCTCTGTCACTAATACAACTCAGTTATGTGTAAACTGGTATTGAAAAAGAATTCTGATTTCTATCTCCCACAACTATTTGATAAACTTTAGTTTAATTATAATTGTTTTTAAGAAGCTGATAACATAATCTTCAAGGGAAAGCATTAATGCTATTTCATTTCTCTAAAACAATTTGTTTTATGATGGTGTATAAATGATATTCTGTCAGATTTAATTCTTATTTCCCGTCATTGTAATGGTACTATGTTTACAGCTATTAGAGAGACTTTACTTCTTGGATAAACTGGTAGGTAACAGAAAGCATATTTCTCAGAGCTGTTTGGCATCTTTAAAGTTCCAAAGTCATTGTCAGAAATCTGTAGTATTTTATTTTGCTTCTTGTTGTTTAAACGTATCATCCCACAATGTTGAATTGATGTCTGTTTACCCAAACATCACCATTTCAGTATTCAGGATTTCCAGCAGCATCCCCATAGAAACAGACGGGTACAGTGGTGCAGTTCAGTAAGAAGAATCCAGTCTTCAACTATACCTTCGTTTACATTACACTACTGTGATAGAATAGCTTAAAACTGTACCATATAATACATTACTATTATAAAAGAGCCTTTCCTGTAAATGCACTGAAAAATTTTTGGGGTATTTTGTTATTCCAATGTGTAGTGTTATTCCAAATGTTAACAACTAGATATTTCTCCACAGTTCTTCAAGATTCCAAAACTCCAAATATAAAGTCAGTTTTCTTACTTTCCAAGATGAGTTACTTGAGTTAGTAAGAATTATATTGGAATACAAACCCAGTGCATTTCATCCAACCTGCAAAATAGTTAAAACAAAAACCAAACCAGCTAAATGTAACAAGAATCCTTCAATTACAAAACTATTGAAAGACCATGAGCTAGCTGATCTATGAAATATACAAGAGAAAGCTGAAACATCTTAAATCCAGTTCTTTCCCCCTAAGGTTGTAACAAAATGGAAAAATCTGCCTTTAAATGCTGCAGATCAATCAATATTTTTCTATGTCCTCTAAGAAACTAAAATGTTTCTTATAAATATTCATAACACTATTTTTTTGTGCACAGTTATTTATGATCTTGAGACTAGACTGTATGGTAGCATTTAGTCAAGATGTACTGAGTACTAACTTAGGTATAAAATATTATTTCTGGTATTTGTCCATCTTCTATCGAAGTACCATTATTATTTCCAGGAGAGCTGAAAAAGAAGAACACAGTCTTGCTGGCTGTCGGTGTTTCATGGACTACTTTCTTCAATCCTTTTGTACCATAGTGGGAATCTGGACCCTAAACAAAACCCAAAGATTAATAATTTTCATTCAATAAGCAATGTGCTATTTTAATTAATCTATTATATTTAATTATAACTCCTGTATTAAATAGTATGCGATTCTAAGGCTTCGTCTGATGTACTCTGGACATGATGCAAGGCAGGACCGGTCCCTGGAGAGGGACATCATGCTTGGGAGGGTGGAGGGACAGCGCAGGAGGGGAAGACCGTCTGTGAGGTGGATTGATTCAGTGACTGGGGTAATCAGGATGGGTGTATTGGAGACAGTGAGATTGGCAAAGGACAGAGCAGAGTTTAGGGCTGTTGTACATAGGGTCACTGTGAGTCACAAGCAACTCGACAGCACATAACAACAACAACAAAGTGAACTGATACACCCAACAACTCAGTTATTTCATGAAAAGAGATGTTTTTGCTAAAAGACAAAATGCTTTAAAAAACTGGAGTATAAAGTCCAGCTATTGGAGAATAGTTGGGAAGTGTTAAGAGCTTTTACTTTCTGTAAAACATTCAATCTCTACTTAAGCAAAGGACTACTTCTTAATAAGACTATTTCTTTCAGAACAGAGCTGGGCTGAGAGGTTTCTTTTCTTGAGAGGGGCAGAATGGTTTCCCTCCCAGCCTTCTTTTCTTCTCTCTCTAAAAGGCTCTCAGAATTTCCCTCTGACCTTCAGCCTCAGGTGAAAACATTTTCTATAAGAGGAAATCATGTCCCACGCGCTCCCCATCCGCCCACTCCTTGCAGCTCTTACTTTGAGTGTTGCACACGCTGTGTAGCAGACATTGGGCAGGATCTCTATAGGGTCTTTGAACATCACCCTGAATGTGTTAGAAGTACCGTCGCAACTAAAGCCAGTATCATTTTGTCCCAAGGTTTGTTTTTTTTCATACTCAATGATCTGTCATTTTAAGAAGAAATACATTTAAGTTAAACCAACTGAAACAAAATTTGATAGAAATGAATAAGAAGCCCTTAAAAGCAGAGCCGACTACTCAATCTCTGTGAAGTAGCTGTCCTCTGTCTTTAACCAGTAAGGATGGCTGTAAGCATGTGTCATGCATCGCAGTGATGGAGGAAGGACACCAGGTAAACTGTGGTGTGGCTGTAGGGAACAGGAGCTTCTAGGAAAGACATACAGCTCACCAACTGGTCTTTTAAAATGTGTGGCTTTTTAGACACTTGAAAGGAGCCTTTACTCACTACTTCTCACTAACACTTGTCATCTTATTAGGAGATTCTTTAGAATGTACTTTATATATTGAAAGGTTATTTTCTGAACTCAAGATGACTTATATGTCGTTTGCAGGTATATGCAGATTAAAAATAGGAAAGTTTTGTCTTTTCACGATAGAGGGCAGGCACTGAGCTGGGAGCTCGCGGTCACTGGAGAAGACATATGTTCAGTGGGAGTTCAGAAAGACACACAATAGGAAGTGTGTGCAAGACAAACCCAATAGAGGAAGAACTGAGCTTGTCAGGGAGAGAGAGGTTCACAGAGGAAGGTTTAAAAAGCTAGAGTCAGAGTTTAGGAGGTCACCGGAGGGAAGCTTCCATGTAAGGCAGGTGTCTGCCCTTCTGGACATTAGGACAGTATCACCTGCACAGGGCAGTGAGTGAAGAAGAGGCTGAGAGGTGCGCCTGGAGTCCTGGGCACGTCCTCTTCCTTGATGTGGCTGCGTGTTCAGTTTGTGAAAATTAAGCTGTATGTAATATGTATAACAATTTATTTTCTGATGTCTATCTTAGTTCAACTGAAAGTATTTAAAAAAAATAATTGTCTAATGTACAACAGTTACCTGGGATAAAATAGTAAGCCAAAGAATGTGGTTGTGACAGTGTGACACTGTTGTACCTCCTTACAGTGCGTGAAGACTGCGTGAGATGATGTTTGTCACGTGGCCTGCTCTGTCACTGGGTAAGTGGGTTTTTTTGTTTTTTCTTTATCTCCAACAACCTTAAGAAGGAACCCAAACCAAAATAATTCCATATTAAAGGATAATAAAGCTGGGGATGCCCTTCAGCACTGTCTTCTTACACCTGTGCTTTGGTTTCAGTTTCGAAGGGGCAGGGTCTTCCTTCTTCACGTTTGGTACCATCTTCGTAGAAAGGCTGACAACTATTCTTAAAAAACCTTCCAAGCCAACAGCATGTCCTTGCTCTGTAATACAGTGGTTTGGAGTGAAGACCCCAAGCTGATCTAAAGCTGTTTAATACCTCAGAGGGCTGCTGAGGCTTTTGTGAAATTAAAACACATGGAAATAGATTTTTCTAACTTCTTCAAAGACCCAATTTTAGTGGCTTAGAACCTATTTGTTAAGAATATTAAAAATATATTAGAAAAAAAGAATATTAAAAATATAATAGCTGGTGGCCAAATGGGCTGTGAAGGCAGAAAGCCACGTCCTAAAGGTGAAGCAGGAAGTCAATTTGCTCCAAGTAAGCACATAGGTTTTGAAGCAGGAGTGGCATCCAATTCCTGAACAACATGCTTCCGGAAAGTCTATGGACTTTGATAAATGTTGATAGTTGTAGAGGGGCTCCAGGCCTTTTGTTCACAGGGTAGCTATGAGTCGTGCTCGACTTGAAGGCAATCAACAACACAACAACATACTGATTTTTTTAGTATAGCTGATAATGCAACTTCTCAAGATAGCTGTGTGTAGTGGTACAGGGTCTTTATTCCACTAATCTTTGAATTGTTGGATGACGAAGTATAAAACCATCAGCTTGAAAAAAGAATGATTTATTGTTTCAATCGCAAAAGTTCATTGAGATTTTTATTAAAAATGGTATTTAAGAGAATGCAGTCTTTTCTCTTGGTAACCAAGAATGTTAAACATTTCCTACTCCTTTTTCACATCTCTATGTGTTTTCACTAATTTATTATATGTAAAGTGTTAATACTACGTCCAAGCAATGCCCCCACTGGCGTCAAGCTGATTCTAATACACAGGGACCCGCCTGTGGGTTTCTGAGTCTGCGTATCTTCACAGGAGAACTGCCTGTCTTTCTCCTGGAGAGTACGCTGGTGGATTCCAACTGCTTACCCTGTGGTGACGTAACATAGAAAGAACACCACCAACAGGAGTCCTTTCTATACACACACACTTGGAAAATAAGAAAAAATACAATGTGCTTTCAAAAAAATTTTTACTAATAGGGCTGTATGATTATGGAGAACACTGGTTTATCGGCAATATCAAGGTAGAACAGACCTAAGGAATGAGTCAGGGTATAGCTGGATCAGTGGAAGTCAGCAGAGCGTTGGCAGTGCTATCTAGCCTCTAGGACCTTAGAGTAGGAGTCCTGCTGGCAATGTAGCTGAAGTGCTCAGCTGTTAGCCAAAAGGTCAGAAATTCAAATCCACTAGTTCCTCTAGCATAGAAAGCTGCTGCAATTTGCTTCCGTGAAGATCAAAAGCACTGGAAATCCTTATGGCCAGTCTCTATCTGCCTTACAGAGAATTGGAATTGACTGATGGTAGTGGACTTGGTTTTGTTTTTCATTCAGAACCTAAGAGTTCAAAGGATAAGAGGGAGAGGAGGTGGCTGTTCTAAGTGAGAAGAAGGGCTTTACTGGACAAAGGAACTGCCAATGTTTCTATAAAGAACCCACTTTTCTGAAACCTCTAATATTGAGATGAGCTATCACACCGAACTGCCCACGTAACACAAAACTCTCTAGACTTGAAACACCATAGAGAGGTTTCTGGTTCCTTTGACAATTATACTGAAATAAGAATTTTGTGGTAAAAGTACACATTTATTATATTTGAAGATGATCAACAGTGAAGAATAAAGTATACCTGTATATTCACTTGGTAATCCGTGGGGCCATGGATAGATCCATATAAGCCAAATCCAACTATCGAAATTCTTCTATTAACTGTGAACCTGAAGCCAAATACAAAATAACACAAATAATTCAGTAAGTATTCACACTCTTGACGAACTGCATTTTTAGTGTTGCCTAGAACATCAAATTTTGCTTATTAAAAAGGTATCCCAAATTGGGTATCTTTGGAAATATCACTCTATTTATAAAAACTTCCTTTTAAAAGTTCACATAGGGAGCTTAAACATAGGGTCCCACAATTTGATGGGTGAAGGGAGGGACTGGTAAAGGAGAGGTCCAGTGTGAAAAATAATGTATATGAACTTTATATGTAAACCGGTATAAAATAAATTTTAAAAAGTACACATAACTGCAATTTAACTAAAATTTGGTTTTTATACTCTAATGTATTGAGAGTCAAATGAATGTATTAGGCTTAAAAACCCACGTTTGCTATAACAGCTATGTTTGCATATCTTCTTCATGAACATAGAAGGGTCAGTGATTAGGCTGAAGTTCATAATTTAAACCATGACAATTCATAATTCATTAAATACTTCTTTGGGGCCTAACACTGTAACACTGAGCATGGCACTAACAATGAAGACAGACATCTTCAACCCTTGAGTTAACCGCTTTCTAGAGGACAGTAGTAAAAAAACAGTAAACACAGAAACAAATAATTATTCAAATTGTAGTAAGACCTCCGAAGGAAACAGAGTGAAGATTTCATACTAGACCATACAGAAAGTCTGGTTTGGCCAAACAGTTAAGATATATTATTAATTCAATTAAAGGATTTTGGAAACGTACAAAAACAGACATTAAGTACAAATGGCACTGAAGACTGTAAAATCATAAACAATTTCTAATATGAGGACTTTCAACAACTTTGATTATTACTACCCCACTTCAGCCTAATATTCCAGGTGCTCAGCTTCAGTTCTTCACATGAATTCTTTCCTATAATCAACACAGCAGTTCTAGGAACTGGGGAATAGTAAAATTTTTTATTGTCCTTTAAGAAAATGAGGTTTATGAGAAATCAGGGAACTACTAGCCCTTGATCAAAAAATGTGGAGACCTGGGCTACAAGCCAGGTCTGCTGGGGCCAGAAAACCACGTTTTTCATTACTGTGGAAAACTGACAATATCCTGTAAGGATCACCTTAAACATTTTTAAAAGTACTATTTATAGCTTGCTTTCTTATAAAAAGTAACATATTTTTGGTTCTTTAAAAGAAAAGGAAGACACAGAGTATACCATCAGAAAGAACATTTTAAGGTATCTGTAAGTCCACTTTGCAGAGAGAACCTCCTCTGATAACATAAGGTGCATTTTCTTTTCATTTTCTAATGCACTGCATCATGTGGACTTGCAAGTACAGGCATTATATAAGAATCCTGTCAGACATCTCTCTGTAATTTAGTGCTTTCACAGAAAAAAAAAAAGTCACTGCCGAGTCACTATTTTTAAATAACTCATTACAGATAATCTAGATTTCCCTAGTTTTTATTACTATAACAATGTCATGACAAATAATCTCTGATCTAAGCTATATAATTTTACTTAATTTCTTGAAATAGAAAGGGAATTGGAAGATTGCAGCTTTTGATATATACTGTCAAACCACTTTTTTGAAAGGGTTGTGCCAAGTTTACATGTAACTGACTTGACATTGTTATGTGCCATTAAGTCACCTGCAACTCACAGCAACCCTATGTACAACATCTCTGAAGTCTGCTCTGCCCTGAGCCAGTCTTAGTGACTCCAACACACCTACGCCCATAGCTGCAGTTATTGTATCAATCCATCTCATCTGGGGTCTTTCTCTCCTGCACTGTCCCTCCATCCTTCTGGGTATGATGTTCTTCTAGGACCAGTCCCTCCTGGCCACATGCCCAAAGTATGTGAGACAGAGCTTCAAAATACTAGCTTCCAAGGAGAAGCTTGGTTTCTCCTTCTCCAACATAGATCTATTTGTTTTCTTGGTGGTCCACGGCATGTTCAAGACTCTTCTCCAGCACCACAACTCAAAGGCATCAATTCTTCTGTCATCTTTAGTCATTGTCCAGCTCTCTGATGCATAGCATCTAATTCCCAAGACCCGCAGCAGGTACACCTTAATCTCTAGACTGATAATGATGCTTCTCAGTACTCTGGAGAGGTCCCTGACAGCAGATTTTCCCACTGCAATTTGTCTTTTGATTTCTTGTCTGCTGGTTCCAAGAATGTTGATTGTGGAGCCAAGTAAACTGTATTTGTTAACAACCTCAGCATTTTTTCCATCTAATCATGGTGCTGCAGATTGGCCCAGTGGTGAGAATTTGTCTTCCTGATGTTGAGCTTCAATCCATATTAAAGACTACAGTTCTTGACCTTCTGCGTAATGTAGATTGTTGATGAGTCTTCCTCCAATTCTGATGCCACAATTCTCCTCATAAAGCCCAGGTTCCTAAATAATCTGTTCTGTATATAGATTGAAAAGGTATGGAGACAGGCCACATCCCTCACACACTCCTTTCCTGACTTTGAACCATATAGTGTTTCCTTGCTCTGTTCTGAGGACTGCTTCCTGGTCCAAGTACAGGTTTCATATGAACACAATCAAGTGTTCTGGGATTCCCACTCTCCTCAAGGTGGGCCACAATTTGTTGTGATCCACACAGTGGCTATGCTTTTGCAAAGTCAATGAAACACAGATAAGACATTCCTCTGGTACTCTTTGCTTTCTACCAAGATCCATCTGACATTGGCAATAATGTCTCTAGTACCACAACCTTTTCTAAATTCAGCTTGTTTTTCTGAAGTTTTCTTTTGATGTACTGTTCCAGTTGCTTTTGAATAATCTTGAACAGGATTTTGCATGTGTGTGATATTATTCGATAATTTCCACACTCTGCTGTGTCACTTTTTTTTTTTTAATGGAAGTAATTATAGATCTCTTCCAGTCAGTTTGCCAGGTAGTTGTCCTCCAGATTTCTTGGTGCAACTTGGTGAGCACATCCAGGGCGGCGTCTGTTTGTTTAAATATGTTAACTGGTATTCCATCAATTCCTGGGGCTCTATTTTTTTGTCAAGTTCTTCTGGGCAACCTGAACTTCCTCCTTTATCACAACTGCCTCTTGATCATATGTTGTTTCTTCAAAGTCTTCTGTGTCAGCCAATTCTTTTTGGTACAGTGACTGTATACTCTATCTTCTTTCTATGTTTTCTGGATATTCAGTATTCTGCCCATAGTATCTGTAAGTATTGCTACTCATAGCTTGAATTTATTCTTTAGTTCCTTCAGCTGACTTGATGGTAAATAAATATTCACCTGCTTTAGGACATCTACGGTCTAATTTTTTTAAAAATGTAAAACTTTTCATTTTACATGTAAGGGCTGCTCAGGCTGCTGCCCCATGCCCCCACCCCAGACAACCTGATATATAAGCATGGCAAACTGGCTCAGTCCTGACCTTGGCATGGAGGTGGTGGAAGCTTCTAATAGGACTGAGTGCTTGTAGGGTGTTGGTTTGCTGTGATCTGGGCATTTTTAAAGGAGGGAACGAAGTAAGGCAGAGGCCTCTGTCTGTAATCCTCTCATTTCTCCCTTCTGGTCTCTGGGGTCCAGGCAAGGAGCAACATACCCAGGGCAGATGGATCTGAGTGAGTCTGTTGAGGTTTTCCAGCCTTGCCTAGATCAGGCCCAGATAGCTAGCAGGAACCAGGACAGAGGTCACTTGAACTCAGATCAGATAAGTCCCTCTTAAATGCACCACTTTTAAAATCTTTGTTCAAAGTCCAGCGAGATTCAAGACCAGCGCTCACCAGCAGAGTTGCTGACTAAACAGGGCAGCTCTTCTCCCATCCACATCCAGAAATGGCTTAGTCTTCAACCCTTGTGAATGTAAGCTATTCAAACAAGGACAGACCCAGGGCTTCTTTCTGCGAATTGAGGACACTGATGAGCACTTGGTCCATGTGTTTGAGAATGGCGCTCAGCAAAGAGGCTGGCGTCTAGGATGGAGAAAGAATTATTAGGATGAATGTTGTCTTTGAGAATAAGCAAGTATATGTGGGCTGTGAATCCGGTTAGACAGAGTGACTTTATTAGTTATGGATAGGAATTTGAGAGAGCCATTGAAAAAAAAAAAGACTGGAAGGAGGCGTGTCAAAGTCAGGAGCCTTGGCTGAGTGGTAAAAATGCTGGCTTTGGTGAAGAATAGTACAGGTGTGGCGCCCCTCTCCTGCACTTTCTCACCAGGCTCCCTGTGACCAGCAGCCACATCCAGAGGAGCAGGGACAGGGCCATGCTGCCTGGTGAAGAAGAGTACAAAAGAGACTTGAAGCCAGCCACGGCTGCGCTATCTGGTGAAAGAGGGGCAACAGCCATGAGGATGTGGTTGACAAAGTGAAGAAACGGGGAAGCTGTGTTCAATCCCTGCTGGTAGACAAGGACACTGACAGGTGATATGGTGAGCAGCTGAAGAGAGAAGCCACCAGCCTGAAGCTGCTACCCCACAGTCCCAAGGTGGGGGGTGAAGGGCACTGATGCTTATGCGCTCCAGCTAAGAGATGGCTCAACACAAAGTCACATCATCAAGGACATAGATTCTGGATAGGTAAAATTTTCACCCAAATCCTAACAAGAAGGTGGTGTTGGTTTAAAAAAAAAAAATAGCCTGACATGTAAAGAATACATGAAAAAGGCACTGTCCTTATTAATGTCTGATTCTAGTTGAGATTTTCTAGTTCTTTTTCTGAATATATGTTTTATGACTGGTCAGTATTTTCTCTTACTGGTTTAAAGAAGTTTGATTCTAAGATTACTCAGGTACCTAGATGTTCTCTAAGTTAGCCCTCAGGAGGCATTTCTGTTCATCACAAAACGTTTCCATTTGATTTCCTGAAATGTTGATGGCGAACACTAAAACCAAGCTCTTCGCTGTTGAGTTTATTCAGGCTCAACATGACCCTACAGGACAGAGTATAACTGCTCCACAGGGTTTCCACAGCTTCAAATCCTTGGAGAGAGCAAACTGCAACGTCTTCCTTCCACGGTGTGGCTGTGGATTTGAACTGCTGATCCTTCAATGTGCCATCAAGCACTTAACCACTGCACCACCACAACGGCCATGCTCACGATATTGTTGTTAGGTGCTGTCATACTGGAACCAACTCATAGTTGGCCTTTCAGGAGGATTTCAGAAGCAGGAAATAGCACAGGATGAGACTGTTCTCCTGTGGTGCAGCTGGTGAATTCGAACTGTGCATCTTTGGGTTGGCAGGGCAATTCCTTATCTACTAGGCCACCAGAGCTCTCAAGCTTATGATTTTTGTTGTGTACCGCAGACTTAGATAGAACAGACCCATAGCTGATCCTCTGGCTGGTTTTCAGAGGCAGTAAATCACATGGAAGGAGAATGGCCATCCTTCTCCCACACGGCAGTTGGTGGAATTGAACTGTGTGCCCTCAGAACTGCAGCACAGATTCTTACCACTAGGCCACCAAGCGTATGATGTGTACTGTCGGGTCAGGATCGACCCATAGCTGACCCTCCAGTGGGTTTTCGGAAGCAGTTAATCATACCGGAGGAGAATGCCCATCCTCCCACAGAGCAGCTGGTGGGATTTGAATCATGTGCCTATGGGAGTGCAACGCAGCTTCTTGCCACTAGGCAACCAGAGGTCCCTCAATCACCTTTTAAGTATCTTGCCAGAATTCATGTAAGTGAAAAATGCGTTTATAGTATGTGCTTTGAACCTAATTCTATTTATAAACCCAAGATGGGCAATCTCTTCCGTGTGACTTATTGCCTCTGAAAACCCAGTGGAGGGTCCGCTATGCATTAGCTCTGACTCAACTGACCATTTAGGCAGCTCTGATGGCCTAGTTTAAGGAGCTGCATTGCCAACCCACAGATACGCAGTCCTAATCAATCAGTTGCTCCAAGGGAGAAAGATGGGCAATCTCTTCTCCTGTGTGATTTATAGCCTCTGGAAACCTGCTAAGAGGTCAGCTATAACTTGGTTCTGACTAGATGGCACATATCCACAATGCTGACTACTGAGTGTGAATGATGAAACAGGAATGCTTCTCCTAGCATCTAAGGCACTAGGATACACCTGTACCCTGCAAGTGGGAGTTTGGTGGTAGTGTGCCATGTATTGCACTACTAGCCAAAAGGTCAACAGTTCAAATCCACAAGCTGCTGACGGGGTAAGGACAGGCAATCTCCTCCAGTAAAGATTCAGCGCTGGAAACCTGATGGACCGGCGCCATGCTTTGGAACTGACTTGACAGTGGTGGGTTTGCCATGTGGCTCTAACTACAACAGTCTACCTTCTAGGGCAGTCCTGCCTGAGCATACACAACACAATGAAATATCTACCACTTTATTATCAGTTACATTTGAGTCTCCTTTACAAGTGGAATGGAAAAAAACAAAAAGAATAAAGCTATTAACACAAATTTCATTTCAAGTTATTTACAAAATACAGAAAGATGGAAAACTAGGCTTAACAGAGTACAGAAATATTTAAGACAGATAATTTAATCTTCAAATAATGAAAAACCTCCTCCTTTCTAATAATTGAGATTTTCATTTCTTTATTAGTCAGGCTTTTTGGAACACTGCTGAAAAACAGCAAGGAAAGCAGTCATTTCTACTGTGAGGTTGCCTTGCAGGTTAAAAAATATTTTTATAAACCTATGCCATTAATTTTTCTATCTTGAATAAACATAAGACCATCAAAAGATCCACTTCCTAAACATCATGCCTCCAGAAACCCTATGAACTTTGATAAATGTTGATAGTTGTAGAGGGGCTTCAGGCCTTTTGTTTATAACATCACTATGAGTCGAAAGTAATCAAGAACAACAGAAATAATGCGTTTTTCCTATAATTTTGCTACTGTCATAAAGGAAATGAACACATTTCTTAATTCGGCTCATAAAGAACCTTGGCAGCGTAGGGCGTAATGTGCTGTGCTAACTGAAAGGTTGGCAGTTCAAATCCATAGGCTACTCTGTAGGAGAAAGACTGGCAATCTCCTCTTATATAGAATTCCAGCCTTGGACATCCTGAGGTCACTGTGAAGTGGAACCCACTGGACAGCAGTGGGTAAAACGGTTTATGTATTATTCTTCAAAGATCCTGCTAAATTCAAAATGCCAATGCTTTTCATAAAATTCCTGTACTTATATATAGTAAAGTGAACTTGACCCACAATTCTTGTTTTGTTGTAATATTTCTATATAAGGGTTATGTTTTCATCAATAAATAATTGAAAGGTATGTTCTTTTAAAGTTAAAGTAAGGAAGCTCTGGTGGCCTAGTGGCAAGAAGCTGCACTGCAATCCCAGAGGTATGTGGTTCGAATCCATGAGAAGGTCTGCTGGAGAAGGAAGGGCAATCTCCTTCTGTACCAGTCAGATCCGATTTGATGGTACACACACACAAAAAAAATAAAAAGATAAAATTTAAAAAAAATTTTTTTTTTTTTAAAAAAAGGTAACTAATTCATCCCTTGAAGGCTAGATAAAACTCACCTGTATAAACCACTGTGAATGGTCAGGTCTTTAATAATTTCTTTTATTCCATCATTATCAGTCTACTCAGGCTTTCCTCTTTAGTCAGTTCTGATAATTTATATTTGTCTATAAAATGGTCCATTCCATCAAAATGTTCACTTTATCACCATGGAGAAAGCCCAAAACTAAAATATTCTCCATAGTATATGACTCTATTTCTATTTCTAAGTGTGCATAAAAGTACTTTTCCAAGCTTCTTATTTCTTTTATTGGTCTTCTCTAAGTAATCAGTTTAATAGATTTTTTAATTTCTACAATTTTTGAACATTTGATTTCTCTGTTTACCTATTTGTTTTTTCAGATAATGAGGGTAAATGCTTCTGTCCTTTTTTGTATTCTGGCATTTCTTTTTAAAACTAAAAGTAGTTAAACTATTACTATTCCTTTGTATGTAGTTTTGGCTTTCCTTTATTAAAATTTTTGTTTCTCCATTACGTTTTTTATATAGTATTGCCTAGTGGTAAGAAGCTGTAGTGCAATCCCAAAGGCTCTCGGTTCAAATCCACCAGTTGCTCTGCAGGAGAAGCATCTCTTCCTGTGCAATTCAATGCCTCTGAAAACCCACTGGTGGATCAGCTACGGGTCGGTTCCGACTCAATGAAACACAATAGCAACATTCACACTAAAAACAATTTCTAAATATTCACAAATACCTTTCCTATTCTAACGAAGTATGTAAGTAGAAGTCTCTCCAACTGACTTTTTTTAATAAATTTGTTATTAACTTCTAACTTTATATAAAAGTGCTATCATAGAACAGAAAATCCAAAAGGCATTTTTAGTGAATGAACACTAGCACTTACTCTATGTTTTAATATTTAAAGAAACATGGTAAAACAAAGATAAAATTTCTCAGTAAGATTACACAAGATTCTTTTGTGTGTGTGTGTGTGTGTGTGTGTGTGTGTGTGTGTACCGTCAAATTAGATCTGACTGGTACAGGAGGAGATTTTCCCTCCTTTCCCGGCAGAGCATCTGGTGGATTCAAACCGTGAGCCTCTGGGATTGTAGTTGCAGCTCCTTGCCACTAGGCCACCAGAGCTCCCCTGATTACACAAGATTCTTGATTTCTATCTCACTCTGCTTTTATAAATGTGCAATGGAGTATTTTTCATGTAATATCTAGGTAAAGAAAAAGCTCACAGTAACTCAACATGGCTACTGAAGAAACCTGAGTAACTTGCCCATAAAAACAGTGTCTGGTCAATTCTATTCTAAAATTCAGCACCCTGGCAGCACACATTGACAGAATTCACATAACAAGGTCTAACCCAGTCCTTTTTTGTTTCCCAAGAAACCCTTTCAATCATAATTCAATAAGGTGACTACAATGCCTTGCTAACTTCTTGATTCTTAAATTAACTTGGAAGTGTCTTATCAAAGTATAAAATGTTGGCTCATTATCTCCCACAAACACGAGGATAAAGGCCCCATACTATTGTTGTCCCCACCCTTGCTTCTGGGTCCACATTACGACAGGTACCTAATTCGATCACTCGTTCCACTGTAACCCCATCGGCTCTCTACTTGCTGGAATCTATTAATGCTGCACTCCTTTCCTCGAAGGCAGCATCTTGGTCGGTCAATATACTCCACTCGGGGTTTAGGATTGACAGTAAAATGGAGAAAAAGATTCACCACTTCTCGATCGGACAAAATTCCAGATTGAGCAGGGCCTGGAGAGAGAGAAAAAAAAATTTAAGCCTCAATAAATGGAATTTCATTCCCAAGAAATATTATAATACTCTGTAATATGAACTCAAATCTACAAGATGCCAAATAAGAATGAAGTAGAAAATCCTAGGTATGTAATGTTAGGCTACATTTAATTTTAAAGTTTCAAGAAATTAATTTGCATTCTACTATTACCAAAGCTTAGTTGAACCTTGAGATAACAGAAAGATCTCTAGAACATTCTTTCTGTTCACCCTTCTGAGTACTACAGGGTCATGAGAGAGAAGCATTCCCTCTGGTGGGAAAGTGTTTTACAGTCGAGGTCAAAGTTCCATTACCCAACCATTCTCAACCCAAAATTGAACTGAAAGTATAACTTCAAACAATGAACTATGTTTAGAGATAGAAATACATAGGGGATAGTGTGTTATTTCTTGGGTTTAAAAATTAACAGACAGTAGAAGTTAAGATTAGAAGAGCGGTAGAAGCCACACAGTATATAGGTTTACAGTCTTCCCATTCATGGGTTTTGACAGGAGAAAAATTGCAAGTGGCCTAAACTTATCCACGGATAAATGCTGCTCTTTATAAAAGATGCCAGGAGATACCTTCCAAGGCCAATAAAACCTAAAGACGACACTGAAAAAACTTGATTTATATGAAGAAGCTATAATATTCAGATTTTAAACTGGATTTGGCGGCATCTACTAATCCCGAACATAGGCTGACTCTATGAGTCAGCAGTTCTGCTCTGACATATCCAACAGAAATCTATACAATCTATACAATGTACGTAAAGCGGAGAACATGTGCAAGAATTAATGGCCCTCAACAGAGACAGCCCAAATGTCCACTAAAAGTAAAATGGGTAAATACAACATGGTACATTTATATAGTGGAGTATTAGAAATACAATGAAAAAGAATCCTATATACAATCACAAACATAATGTTAAAAAAAAGAAGTCACATGCAGAATCATACTACCAGTATGATTTCATTTAATATCAAGTTCAAAACCAGGAAAAACTATAGAGGTCAGAAACTAGTCAATTCCTGGAGACAAATAGCAGGACTCATAAAATAGGTCAGTGGGGGGGAAAAGGAAGAACCTTAATGAAATAAGATGGACAAACTGGCAATAAAGGGCTTAAACAAAGCAGAAACCATGAGGCTTGCCAAGCAGCAGGCAGTGTCTCGTTCTGTCATATTCAGGGTTGCTAGGAGGCGGAATCCACTCAACAGACCTCAACAACATTAAAACAGCACAATCACCACTGGGAGACATGGGCAACAAACAGCTGAGTGTGGTAAGTATGGTGGAAGGTTTCAGGAGCTGGTTGTGAGCTGCTGGGAGGGTACTGCAAACTGATGTACGTATGGTCACACAAGTGAGCTTACTGCATAGACTGCACTACACAGCTGTTACACTTAAAACACAAACCATTCTGACCAATAAAAACAAAAAGAATTTCAGAGAACACTGGAACATATGTAATAAATCACAAAGGAAAAACTAAAGATGAAAAATATACACCGGTTGCTAAACATAGTGAAAATCCATCTAAGTAAATACATTAGTCCACAAAGAACTACAATTCAAAGTTATCACGAGGATACTTTTCTCTTAAATCAGCTTGGCCACGATACAAGTACTGGTGTTAATATGGGTAACAAGTGGTGGCAGATGGTGAGTAGAGGAACTGGGATTCAAAATGAAATCTGAATGATTTCCACCTGAGACATCACTTTTTAATAAAAAGAGTCTAAGATTTGGGCAAGATCCTGTTATTTTACCTATCAAATTAATTCTTTTATCTATAAAATGCAGATATACTATCTTGAAGGCAGTTATGAATGAAATTTGAGAATGAAACTTTAATTATATACATTTAGATGGCCCATGCGACTAGGAGAGTGACAGCTGTTGTATGTTTTCATGTTGATTCCAACTCACACCACCCCTAAAGGATCACGCTGCCCACAGTTTTCTAGCTGAAATCTCTCACAGGAGCAGATCAGTGTCTCTTCTCCCTCAGAGCCTGTGGTGGGTTCCAATGTCTGACTTTCTGGTTGGCAGCTGAGAGCTTATTCTTTGCGCCAGCAGAGACTCTTAGAAGAGCAACTGGGACGGAGTGAGCTAGTCTTTTTCTCTGTAGTATAGAGAGGCTGAATGACTGCCAGTTAAAACACTTGCCAACAGATTTTGACCTTACCTGCTGCAAACTCTTCAATCGTCATCAGTGGGAACCGAATTAAGGAAAGCGCTTTTCCTAGGACTTTCTGTTTGTTTCCAAAAGTCACAGGCAATTGTTGTCTTTGACATTCTGCTTCTGCCCAGCGTACGACAGCTCCAAAAAGTCGGCTTTCTCTAATACTAAGTGTGTCTCTTTCTAGCACTGCACAGAGTGTGTCTATGGGTAAAATGAAAACAACAATTAAACTGGGAATATTTTGTTCTTAGTATACAAGTCTATATTAAATTAAGTTTTCAAACCCTAAAAGAGGATCCTTAAAATGATAGTTCCCAAACTTTGAAGTCCATTGATTCATTCTTTCTTTCAACAAGTATTTATGATTCAGTACTCTTTACGTGTCAGGCATTTTCTAGATGCTGAGCAGGTATTGGTGAACACACGGTTAACAATCTTTGCCCTTACAAAGCTCATATTCTAATCGGAGAGAGAAGCAAAAGAAAAGATTAAACAATAAGTAAATTCAATTATATATTAGTCACGCGTAAAGGAAAGAAAGAAGTAAAAAATAGAGTGGTCTGGGTAGCTCTCACGAGAGCAAAGACTGAAACAGGTTGAGGAGAAAAACAGGAGATGTCTAAGGAAAACATTGCAGGACCATGAGTGTGAAACAGCTGTGCATCTAGTAGATCCCAAAACAACAGGAAGTCCAGTGAGGCTACAATGGAGGGAGCACAAACAGAAGGCGGCAGAAATATGGGGAGACCTAGGGTGCAATTATGCAGCATCCTATAGATGACTGGGTTTTAATTTTGAGTGAAATGGATGTACCCTTGGAAGGTTTTGAGCAGATCTAAAGCATCATCCTTGACTGCTGCTTAGATAAAGTTAATGGGTCAAGAGTACAAATGAGACAAATCAGGACACCTCTGCACTGATCCTGGTCAGAGGTGATGGTCGCCCCGTATGGTGAAAGGAGGAGACCTTTATATGACCTTTCACCTTCGTTCTTTGGAAACACAACTGGAGAGATTTTTCCACTTAAGCTCTGAGAAGTTCCCTTTGTCCTGGTTTGCTACACCAGAGGGGGTGCTACTTTTACAAGAACTGTCACCTCTGTACTATACTAACAGCAGGAGTTTTGGCTTACATGTTTCCAGATCCTCCTGAGTTGTACCCTTACTCCCCTCATTCACCACTTAACCCTAACTATGGTCTGGAGTTCTGTGTGGCCACTGTAATAGATTACTGAACCCAGAAGAGAAGTAGAGAGTGCTATGGGTGGGCTGGCTGGTGTCAGAACTGGTAAAAAGGGTGGAGAGCAGAGATTTATCAGACCTTTCTTTACCTCCTGGTGCTCTGCAGTGAGCTTATCCTGATTCAAATCAGACCCTCCTCTAAAGTTAGATAAGGCCTGAGGCTACAATTTATACTTGGTCCAGGATGGCAGAAGCAGAACTGATGAAAAAGGATGAGATGCAGGTCATAGACTAAAGGTTTAATGATATCTCCTAATAGACTGGATAAGGGAGTGAGACAGAAAGAGAAGAATCAGGAATAATGAGGAGGTTTACATTGTAGACAAGTAGGGGAAAGATGCAGGTGGTGTCAATTCTGATGAGAAGAAGAACAGAGCAGCAAGTACGGGGCAGGGAGGAAGATGTCAATTTCCATTCAGACCATATTAAGTCTGAAATCCTTAAAAAAAGTGTTATTCTATACATATGACTTCCTCAGAATAATTTTCCTTTTGTCACAATCAAAATTAAAGCTGATTAATTTTATTTTTAAGCTAAATCAGCTAAGAAGCCATATATTTAGAAGAGAAGGGGATCTTAGAAGTCAGCATACAATAATGGAATAATAAGATGGCAGCTAACAGGGATGAAGAATGGTGTATGAAAAACAGACATTAAGCACTTGAAAACAGCTGTTAAAGAGTCTTAAGCAAAGAGAAAGAGATTAAAAAGCAAGAACAGCATGTCAGGGGCCTGAACACTTCCCTGTGCAAGAGTAAAACATAACAATTAATGCTTATAAAAACCCTACCAGAATTATACTCACTACACAGAAGGCAGGTAAAACACATTTTAAAGAACTTAATCTACAGAAGAAAATAAAATGCCTTGGTCCTTAAAAAATATTGAGATGTATGGGGAAATGATTTACAGAGAACTTTATTCTCTAAATAATCTAGATAAAAGACACTACTACAAAGTATTTATAGGCAGATGTATTAAAAGTAAGAAATTATGGCTGAGAGTCTTATAGATCATTTGAGATTGTTTCAGAAACATAATACAATATTGGATTTTAAGATAAACAACTCAGAAAAATCAGATCAATAAATATTTATTGAGTGCCTAATCTGTACAAGACATTTATTAAAAAATCTTCAGGCTCCAGTGCTGTATGTAATTTAGAGCTTTTTAAACAAAACTACTTTCAGGAATATGTCACTGGGATGCAAAGAGTACTGTTAAAAATGAAAGTTAATCAAGGAATAATGCATGTCGTGCTAACCATCATGGCTGGCAGTTCAAATCCTCCATCTGCCCTGAGGAAGAAAGATGGGCAGTTTTTTCTTGATGAAGATTTACAGCCTTGGAAACTTGATGGAGGACCACTATGAACTGGAATCAATCAGAAGGTACTAGGTTTAGGCTGGGTTTTTACTGTCGGGAGGAGTTTTGACAGCTCTTTAATGGGAAGGAAATAAAGTCGCTAGCAATCTGGGCAGTACCTGGGACTCTTAAATAGTCACCAACTCTAGCTTTTCATGCACACCCTCTGTGCAAATGTGAGGAAGTACTAAACTTAGGCTTCATCTTTTGGTATAATGCAAACAAAACCTTCTCCCTGTCGCAGTTGGTTCTGATTTACAGTAACCCTACACAATAGAACAGAGCCGCTCCATAGGATTTTCAAGGCTGCAAAACTTGACAGCAGCAGACAGCCTCATCTTTCCTCCATGGAGAAGCTGGTGGGTTCAAACCAATAATCTGATGGTTGACAGCTAGCAGTCCAATGCATCATCCACAGTGCCACCACGACTTCTACAAGTATAATGCAAACAGAATGAAAATACAAGCTTTCAAGGTTTCTGTATAGGAGACAGACAAACAATGGAATGTGTTACTTAAACACAGAAATATAGTGTCACCATAAAGGGAGACTGTCAGTTCTCAAAAAAGGAGTTACTACAGAGGTAGAATTTGAGTCAAGAAATTAAGTAAGAACTAGCCAAGGCAAGAAGGAAAAGGCAACATTCTAAAGACTCAGTCAGTCTGTCCAGTTGGTCACCAAGTATCAACTGAACAGGCATCATGTTCTTTTTCAGATGCTAGAGATGCTGGGTTAAACAAAGCCCTGCCTCCATGGAGTTGGCATTCTAAGAGAGGAAAGCAGACAATCAACACACACAAGCGTGCGTGCACACACGCGTGCGCACACACACACACACACTCCCCCACCGCCAGATAAAGAGTTGTGGATTGTGATATGTATTAAGAGGAAAGCAAGAGTAAGGAACAGGGATTATTTAGGGGAATGTAGAGCCTACTTTAACTAAGCAGGTCTAAGAAGGTGTCTCTTAGGTTTCATTTTACATGAGTTCTGAAGGAAAAAGAGGTGCTTATACTCATATTTTAGGAGAATTCCAATCATAAAGAATAATAAATACAAAGATGTGAGATATAAACAGCCCTGACCGCAGTGAGATGTGAATGATGGGAACCATGATAGGAGACAGTCAAAGGCAGGAAAAGGAAGACAATGGTTGATAGCACTGCACCAAAAATCTGCTTTCTCACTGCCTGGACTGTGACTACCCTGCATCTGTTGGCCTCCACTGAAGTTAGGCAGGCCTAATCCTGGACAATGAAGAGAGCAGCCAAAATGAGGGTGCTATTTTAGGGCTAAGACTTTTAAGATATGGGTATCTTCCCCGCTTGTACTTTCTCTCACTCATGACTATCTGGAAAGGAACAGATGAGGTCTGCTGAAGGTGGGGAGAAATCACCTGTTCTATTTTAGCTGAGCTGTTTGCAATACGAATAAGTCTTCAAGAAGAGATGTCAAATAGATAGGAATTTGCGTTAGGAACTGAGATAATAGTTAAGACAGTTTGGGTTCATTGTCATAAAGCTTAATAGTTGCAGACAATGGCTTGATTTTATTTTTGAGACTGTCCCACAAGAAGCCCCAGGTGGTACAAAAGTCTTTCACTACAAACAAAAAGGCTTATGGTTCAAACCCACCCAGAGAGACCCTGGAAGAAAAGCCTCATGATATGCTTCTGAAAAGTCCCAGCCAAGAAAACCCAGGAAAAGGAGCTCCATTCCATGTCACACATGGAGTCCCAGGAGTCAAAATGGACAAGAGCTACTCATTTTCTTTTTTTCTCTTACTCTCCTACAACAAAGTTAAACTTTCTGGCAAGTCACTACATGGCCCCATATGACAGGCTTCACTTGCCTTGTACTTCTTCCTTCCTTGATCCTCAGTCGTGGGGTTCCTCTTGCCTTTAATCCCCTCTCCTCCTCACGTACAATGAAACCTCTGAGAGCTGAAGCATGATAAGAATGTTTTGTTTTTCCAATTCTTCTAAGTTTTCCACCTTTGACAGGTACCATTTTACCACTTTTCTACAGCTCGTTTTAGAGGTAAATATCTGTACTTTACTCCTCTGAACTTTCCACCTTATAAAGATTCAAACTTTCAAAGGTTTTATTGCATTGTCTTTTCTTTAGAACTCATATCAGGCACTTTGATTTACTATAATGACCTGAACTTGACGTTGTGTTGTTGATTGCTGTCAAGTTGAGCACAACTCATAGTGATCCTATGAGCAAAAAAGACCTGAAGCCTTTCTGTAACTACTGTCATTTATCAAAGTTCATAGAGTTTCCAGAGGCATGTTGTTTAGGATGTGGGTGCCACTCATGCTTTCTCCATTTTCTGAATTTGCAAAGTAGTCCTTCTTTCTATACCTAATTTAGAAAGTGGTAACATTCTACCTCAAGCCATCTCTTCAATTAGTGTCTTAAAGTTAATTTTCATATAGTTAGTTCTTGATTTTCCAAATAGATGACAGTTTCCTTAATGAGACAAATCATCTCTTACCCTTTATGGTGTTAGCTTAAAAATGGCTTTTCTAGCCATTACATTAGCCCTCTCTGGTCTCCAGCTACCTTAACTTCAAACACATGGTCTTGCAAATCATCAACAGCTGTGGATAAGAGAAAGCGTGCTTCCCACACCAGGCAGCAAGACTTGAGGAAGACTGGAACAAGAGCAAGACTCTGGTGATGAGACCCTAGTGATGGTGGTGGAGAGATGTGGCATTTTTGTGGAGAAACTATGGCAAGGTGTAACCAGAGAAGACCAGAGAGAAAGGCCACAGTTAAAGGATTTTGCTGTTCTTGTTGTAAGAAGCTGACTGCTAAACTGAAACAGAAGCCTGGACTAATTGAGAAACTGTGCCTTGGGACTGCTGGACCAAAACCTGGATTTGCAATGGGTGATATTCTTTGCCTTTTACACCCTCCTACTTATTTCCTTAATAAACCCTATAATCAGTACCACAACTGTGAGTAAAGCTTGTGAGTCAACAATGAATAAACGAACCTCTTACTGCTGGTGTGCCTCTAGAGACACCATGGGGCTGGGCTATGCGTTATCTGTTTTCTCCTCTAGGGTCATGAGGGGCTGTGCTATTCTCACTCCCTCTAGCCCTTTCAGAAAGACACTCATGGCCCTGTGCCCTTATATCCCATTTTCTGTTCTTCAGACAACCTTCTTTATGTCATAAGATCTTAGTATATTGCTATGCATATGATGAACATTCAATGTCTATTTGATTTGGCATCTTTAAAAAAGATGTAAGGGACAGTTAAGACTTTAAGGAATATTTTCACCTAAATGAAATGAAGCATTATTTTATATTTTAAGAGGCAAATTCCAATTATTTTTTTAAAAACCAATTAACAATAGCTCATTCTCCAACAAGGCCGAGTAGCATAGCATTACCATGCTTAAAATGTAAAAACTTACTTCACATTGGACTTACCTATATCAATATCAGTAAACCCTTCTGCACTTATTGCATCCATTGTACTTTTGTCTATTGTATCTAGACAAAGACTAGCAAGTTGAGGTTCATCAAATAATCGAGCCTAAAGATATAAAAAGACAGTTAATTTTTTTCTTCAGACTACAGATACTCATATTTGATACTGAAAACATTTACACTTGTGTTAAAGCATATGCTTACAATATAAATTTTAAATTTATACTTAAATTTTAAATTTACAATATAAATTTATAAATTCTACCCTTAAAATTTTTCACTCCACAATCAGAAATGAAAAGCTAGAAACACTTCTGCCCTGCTGAGATAACGAGTTCACATACCAACAAGAATTCTGTTATTTTTTTGTATTTGTTGTTGTTAGGAGATACAGTCAAGGACAAGCCACAGTGACCCTATGAGCAACTGATCTGTCCTATCCTGTGCCATCCTCACAATCTCTTATATACTGGAGCACACTTTAACAGTCACTGTGTCAATACACCTGGCTGAGAGTCTTCCTGTCTTTCATGGGCCCCCACCCTTCTTAAGCATGATATCCTTCTCCAAAGAATAGCCTCTCCTAGTAACATGCCCAAAATATGGGTATAAGATATAACACACAAGACTTTTTAAAAAAATGAACACTGCTAATTTTAATTTTCTGACTTCTTTAGGGAAAGCAAATAAGGGAGACTTTATTATCTCTATTTTCCAGATGGAGAGAGGCTTAGAGAGGTCTACTTCCCATTTAAGATCCTCTAGTTAATTTTATTTCATAGCAAGTACTTATAGTTTTCCCAATATTAACTGTCAAGGATACAAACAACAGATTAGAATTTTTAACCCACAGATTTTAAGAATTTTAAAGCACAAGAGCTCCCAAAACCTAATAAAGGAAACAAGGCCTAAGAACAGAAAAAGCAAATACACGTAATGAAATATTAAGCAACTAAGACTGGACAGTTTGGAACTAGCACAACAATATGGATGAATTACACAAGTGATGAACAAAAGTATCTAGAGTACACACCAAGCAAAAGTGTGTATGCTTTATTTGAGAAAAGCTCAAACAGGCTACTTTGGGAAGTCAGAAGTCAAGCTGCATACACTTATGAGATGTGCTTTATTATAGCATGTATATTGCCATTTGAGAAAATAAAAAGGAAGAGCAATGAAAGCCGATTTCAATGAAATGAAGAGAAACAGAGCACTTAAAAAAGTAGGAATGATGCCAGGCACACAAATACTCAATCTTTCTTTTTTACTTAGAGCCAGCTCTGTTCACAGGAAGGAGCACACAGAAATGAGCATGAAGCACCTTAACGCACAGGGGATTTGTCCTGGGTCACAGAGACAACTGCTGAGAGTATCCCCAATTAATTAACTATACCATAAATAACGGTATTATGTGGCATGACTGGTAACTCTTCACTTAGGTGTAGTGGTTAGGTTTCAAAGGTCTTTATGCAAGAACTGGCATTCTAAGACAGTGAGGGATTCAAATCACAAGATGGAGCAGGGGTACATTATTATGTAACTGCCAAATGATGTCACTGCATAAGTGCTCAGTCACTCGGAGCCAGTGTCCGGCCAGGCTGGTAAGTAATTTAGCCATCACTTGTCTTTCACCTTGGCACTTGGTACTAGCACACATAGGTCATTAATGATAAAAAGAGTGAGGTAATGGATTTTTTTATTCACACTACTGTTACAAATGCAGAATGCTGAATAAGAGAGAGTTGATAAATAGGGACAGGATGTACATGCACAGGGAATTCTAGTGACACAGTCCATATGGAAATGTGTTGTTAACCCAAAGATCATGCCTCTCCGGTGTTCGAATCCATCAATGAGAGTGCAGGAAAGAGATGAGCCATTTCCTCCTGATTTATAGCTTTGGAAACCCAATGGAGGGTCTGTTATAAGTCTGTTATGACTTCAGGGCAATCAGAGAGATACACACATCAGCACATACACACTCATATATACCATCACATGTATTTTCTGGTGTGGCTATTTAATTTTTAAAATATGAAAATTTGTACATTTTCAACATGTGAAATTCTAATACCAACAGGCATTTTAATTGGCCAACTCAATTACATTTTAGTTAGTATTCACCCTGGTTTTTCATTTTAGGAAGAACAATTTTTTTGTAAAAATGATTTGACTTATGGGTAGCAATTTTTCAGTCACTACTTGAATCGCAAAGGCAATTTCATTCAGTTGCCTACAGAATCCATCACAGCTGTCTGGAGTCAAAGAAATTATCTCAAAGTTCAGACTGACTCTGCCAATATTCCTAATAAGCTAGCACTGACTGTATCACTTCATAAATAGTGTTTTCCTCTATATAAAATCATGCTGGTACAGTATACTGGCACTTTGTTTTAGAGTGAAGCTGGCATGTGCCTTCAAGTAAGTGAACATACTCAGCTCAAATGACTCACTTGGCAGGAAGGAGACGTTCACATGACACTGCGTGGGCCAATTCACATGATCCTGCCTGAAATAATGAAAAGCCTTGAATACTCATACCAACAAAACACTGCAAAGTTTGTTCTCTCACAGTGATATCTGTCAGTCTTGATATTATTCAAAGGGTAGCACTGGCATCATTTGAAAGTCTGCCAGAAAAGAAGACTCTGATGTCAGACTCTGGGCCTAATGAACCAGCTTTTCACTTTGACAAGACTCTCAGCTGCTTTTTTGCACGTTAGTCTGAGAAACACTGTGTTAACCTACTACTGGCATTCTTGCATGAAGACATCAGAAGTAAACTGTGTGAGACTGGCCAAAGAAATAGATATGTATGAGAAATATCAGGTTCCATTTTGCATATTTTTATTCAAAGTTTTCTATGTTAAAAGTCATATACATGCTAACTTTCTAAAAATGTTAAATATTTTAGATTCTTATCACACAGTAATGTTATATAATGTATCGGAAATTTCTGAAACTTTCTATTTTAAGAAAAGTAGTGTATAGTAGGATGATGATGAATTTTCCTCCAATCCTGATCCACACTCTTTATGGAGTCCAGCTTTTTGAATAATTTGCTCAGCATATAGATTGACTAGGTAGGGAAAGAATACAATCCTGACACACTCCCTTCTCAATTTTAAACCATGTAACAGAACCCTGTTCTGTTCACACAACAGCCTCCTGGTCCAGGTATATACAGGTTTCGCATGAGCACAATCAAGTGCTCTGGGATTCCAATTCTTCTCAGCCACAACTTGTCAAATGTCTTTGTATAGTCAATAAGGTACTAACAGACATTCTACTTTTACTTTTAGCCAGGATCCACTGGGCATCAGGAATGACATCCCTGGTTGCCACAGCCTCTTCTAAATCCTGCTTGAACTTGTGGCAGTTCCCTATCTATGTACTGTTCTACCGATTTTTGAATGATCTTCAGCAGTATTTTGCTTGCATGTAATATTAATTATATTGTTCGATAGTTTCCACATTTAGCTGGATCACCTTTCTTGGGAATGGGAACAAATACGGATCTTTTTCAATTGTTGGCCAGAGAGCTGTACTCCAAATTTTCTGTCATAGACTGGTAAACACATTCAAGGATGTATTTGTTAATTGAAAACAAGTCAGTTGTATCCCATCAATTCCTGGGGCCTTATTTTTTACCAACGCTTTTAATGCAGCTTCTACTTTCTCCTTAATTACCACTGGCTCCTGTTCATTTTCTTCCTGAAATTTTTCAGTGTCAATTCTTTCTTAGTACAGTGACTCTGTATTCCCTACATTTTCTTTTGATAATTTCTGGGTCTTTCAATATATTTGCCCACAACATCCTTCAACACTGCTACATAAGGCTTAAATTTGTTTTTCAGTTCTTTCAGCTTAAGAAATGCAGAGCAGGTTCTTCCCTCTTTATTCTCCAATTCCAGTTCCCTGCACATTCCATCATAAAACTTTGCTTTGTCCTCACAAGCTGTCCTTTGAAATCTTCTATTCAGCTCTTTCACTTCGAAGTGTTTTCCTTTTGCTTTGGCTTGACAATCCAGTGTAATTTTACATCCATCTAACTTCTCTGACATCTATTTAGATTTTTTTTTCTTTGTCCTCTGGTTTTATAATGACTTTTTGCTTTCTTTATGGATGATATTGAAGCTGGACTCTATGAACAGAAGTGTGGCATCAGGATTGGAGGGAAGCTGATCAATAACCTGTGTTATGCAGATGATACAACCTTGCTTGCCTAAAGGGAGAAGGACTTGAAGCATTTGCTGCAGAAGATAAAGAAATGCAGCCTTTGGTATGGAATGCATCTCAATGTCAAGAAAACAAAAATTCTTACCACTGGACTAATAGGTTTGGATCCACAATTAACACCCTCGGTACCAGCAGTCAGGAAATAAAGGAGATGCACTGCACTGGGAAAATCTGCAGTTAGGGGCCTCTCTAAATTATTGAGGAGTAATGATGTCAGTTTGTGGACTAAGGTGTGTCTGACTCAGGCCATAGTCTTTTTGATTACTTGCTATGCATCTGAGAACTAGACAATGAGTAAGGATGACAGATGAAGAATTGATGGCTTTGAGCTGTGGTGCTAGAAAAGAGCACTGAACATCCCATGGAGAGCCAAGAGAATGAATAGATATGTCTTGGAGAGTGTGCAGCTGGAGTGCTTTTGGAAGCTTCGCTTCACATACTTTGGGCATGTTGCTAGGAGGGGCTATTCCTTGGAAAAGGACATGATGCTGGGAAGCGAAGAGGGTCGGCGAAGGAGAGGAAGACCTTCAACCAGGTGGACTGACATGGTGACTGCTGCAATGGGCTCTTGTGTGTCAGGAAGTGTGAGGATGGCACAGGATAAAACAGGGTTTAGATCTTTTGTTTAGAGGGTCGCTATGAGTCATACCCGACTCAACAATACTTAACAACAATAACAACAACAATAATTTATAGCAATCCAAGTATTAAACTGGAAAAAGAAATAGGAAATCATTATCTTTAAAAGAAGGCTGTTTTCCTTAGACTATCAATGAATGTTCAAGCAGCCTCAGAAGCATTGGATTTCTGCTCCTCCAACATTTATAGGAAAATCTGAGAGCTACATCTTAGTTACTAGTATTTTTC